TTTGGGTTTGTGTGATTAGACAGTTGGCAACTCCTACTCCTCACCCAGCTGCCACACCCCAGACCCGGCTGCATCTCAGCCCGTTAGCTCACGACATGGTGTTTCTGTGTAACCTGAAATAACTCCTACCAAGGCAGGTGGTTCTGAATTAGTGCGCAGCTGGCCTCATTAATATTCAGACAGGCTGATTAATAGGCAAAGGAGCTCACTAATGATGCAGTTTGTCCTTCGCACGGAGGTGGTGGTGTCGTAAATTATACACCTGGCCTAGTTAATTCTGCAGCCATGGCGGGGGGCGGGCAGGAGGAATAGCAAAGTGTGCAGAACAGTTCATTTCCAATGCCACAGCATGGTGCTAGGGGGCGATATGGGACGAGCTCCAGGGCCTTAGCGCAGCCCCCCTAGTGCCACACGGGGGCATTGGGGCCAGCATGGAATGCCAGGGGAGAGCGCCCCCTGCCAAGCCCTCGCCCTGCTCCCCGCAGCCCAGCGCCCCCTGCCGAGCCCCCGCCCCACTCCCTGCATCCCGGCGCCCCCTACCGAGCCCCCGCTCTGCTCCCTGCAGCACGGCGCCCACTGCTTAGCCCTCGCCCCGCTCCCTGCAGAACAGCGCCCCCTGCCGAGCCCCCGCCCCGCTCCCCGCAGCCCGGCGCCCCCTGCCAAGCCCCCGCCCCGCTCCCCGCAGCCCGGCGCCCCCTAGAGCCACAGTGGGGCACTGGGGCCAGCACTGACTGCCAGGGGAGAGCGCCCCCTGCTGAGCCCCCCGTCCTGCTCCCTGCAGCACAGCGCCCCATGCTGGTATGCCTGGAGATTGCAGTGCCCTGCCCCCGTGCATGTATCTGTCCGTCTGCCCCTCCCCAGGTGGAGGAGATCCGCGGCTGCATAGAGAAGCTGTCGGAGGACGTGGAGCAGGTGAAGAAGCAGCACAGCGCCATCCTTGCTGCTCCCAACCCAGACGAGAGTGAGTTGGGGTGCCCCAGGCTGGGGGGTCTCTGAGCCCCATCGCCTCCCTGCTCTGCTGGGGGGAGAGGGGGACGGAACCTAGAGGGGTCCATCCACCCCTTCATTCCTCCTTCCTTCATCTATCAACCCATTCACACCTTTATCTATCTATCTATCTATCTATCTATCCATCCCCATACACACCCCTCTGTCTATCCAACCCTCTCCTTTCATTCATCCCTGTCCACCCATACATCCCTCTCCCTTCCTCCTTCCATCCATCTCTCTGTGCTGCCATCCCTCCCTCCATCCAGCCCTCTCTCCTCCTCTTCATCCATCTGTCCATCCACCCATCCGTCTGCCTGTCAATCTGTCCTCGAGCCATCCCTCCATCTGCCTACCCGACTGTCCGTCCCGCCCTCCAGCTATTCATCACTCCATCCCTCCATCCCGTCATCCATTGCTCCCCATGTACGCGCCTATCTATCCGTATCCACGCTTCTCTCCATTCACCCTTTATTCACCCAGCTGTTCCAGCCCCCGTCCCCAGTGTGGAAGGTGGGCGGGGCAGGGGGGCAGGAGGGGACTCCCCGCTGGGCATACCCGTCATGGGGATCCCAGGGGGTCAGGGGGCTGGGAAGGTGGCCTCACCCCCAGTGTGGGAGACGGGCATGGTGGAGACTTTCCATCTCATGCCCTCCTCTTCCCCCCATGCAGAGACCAAGCAGGAGCTGGAGGACCTCACGGCCGACATCAAGAAGACGGCCAACAAGGTGCGCTCCAAGTTGAAAGGTACGAGCCCAGGTGGCCATATTGGCTGGTCTTGCACCCCCTCCCCTCCAGGGCATATCACTCCGCCGTGAAAAATACTCCCCTTCTTCCATGCCAAGGGGGTCCATGGCTCTGATCCTGCTCCTCACGTCTCTCCACAGCCATCGAGCAGAGCATTGAGCAGGAGGAGGGGCTGAACCGGTCCTCGGCTGACCTGCGGATCCGTAAAACACAGGTATCCCTCCGCCCTCCCCCCCCAGACACAGGTATCCCTTCCACCCTCCCCCCCCAGACACAGGTATCCCTCCCTCCTCAGCCCCTCCTCAAATATAAGTATCCCTCTGCCCTCGCCACCCCCCAGACACAGATATCCCTTCCTCTTCACCCCCCTGACACAGATATCCCTCCCCCCCCGACACAGGTATCCCTCCCCTCCTCGCCCCCCCCTCAAATACAAGTATCCCTCAGCCCTCCTTCCCCGACACACAGGTATTCCTCCCTCCTCGCCCCCGCCCCCAGACACAGGTATCCCTCCCTCCTTGCCCCCCCCAAATACAAGTTTCCCTCAGCCCTCCTCAGCTCCCCGACACAGGTATCCCTCCCTCCTCACCCCCTCGACACAGGTATCCCTCCCTCCTGCCCTCCCGCCAGACACAGGTATCCCTCCACCCTCGCCCTTACAGAAACAGGTATCCCTCCGCCATCACGCCCCACAACACAGGTATCCCTCCACCTTCAGCCCCCTAGACACACGTATAGTTCCGCCTTCATCCCCCAGCATAGGTATCCCTCCACCCTTGCCCCCCCAGATACATGTATCCCTCCTCCCTCGTCCCACCCAGACACAGGTATCCCTCCGCCCTCACTTCCCCCAGACACAGGCACCCCTCCATCTCCCCGCCCCCAATATCCCTCCCTCCTGAAGCCCCAGCCTCAGCATCATCAACTTCCAGAGCCATCCTTTCTCTTCCATCCCTTCCTTCCCCACCTCTCCAGCTCTCTCCCATCACAGCTCCCCGCATCCCTCCCTCCACTAAGCCGAGGGCGGATCACTCGCAATCTCAGCCAGCGCCACAAGCTTCCTTGTGAGACCCCCAAAAAAATAGTGCCTCCCCAGCCGCTCTACGTCTCTCACGGTGTCTCCCTTCCCTCCCCCCACCAGCACTCAACCCTGTCCCGTAAGTTTGTGGAGGTGATGACGGAGTACAACGCCACCCAGTCCAAATACCGGGACCGCTGCAAGGATCGGATCCAGAGGCAATTGGAGATAAGTAGGTTTGGATTTGGGGGGGGGCGTTGCGGGGGGAAGCTGTGGCTGTGTGTGTGTGTAAGAGAGAGAGCGGCACTGCCCCCTGCTGGTGGGAATCAGGGCCCTATGTGTGTGTGGGCGCGCACACCCTCAAAGTGCTGAGTGACTCCAGTGCCCCTGTGTGGCACTAGGGGGCGCTGTGCTGCAGGGAGCGGGGCAGGGGCTCAGTAGGGGGCGCTCTCCCCTGGCAGTCAGGGCTGGGCCCCAGTGCCCCAGGGTGGTACTAGGGGGGGCGCTGTGCTGCAGGGAGCGGGAAGGGGCTCAACAGGGAGCGGGATTTTGCTTCCATCAGCCCTGGAGCAATGGGCCAAGGCCACTGACCCTCTATCGCCTTCACAGCTGGCCGGACAACCACCAACGAAGAGCTCGAAGACATGCTGGAGAGCGGCAAACTGGCTATTTTCACTGATGATGTAAGTGTCAGGACTGGGATGTCACCCAAAACAGGGCTTCCCATGTTCCGGACTTGGATGGGAGACCAAGTCAATAGCCCAGTGTGGCACTAGGGGGTGCTCCCCCTCTGGCAGTCAATGCTGAACACAATGCCCCAGTGCAGTGTTAGGGGGCACTGTGCCACTGGGGACAATTGCATTTCAGCACAGGGCGAGCCATCCCCATCCCCTGCTGCCCCACCCCAGAGGTGGCTGCATTTCAGCAATGGGTGAGGACTAGAAGGCCCTGGGGAGAGGGGGGGATGCTTGTTTCTATCATCCAGACTCTCTTCTGCTTCCACAGATCAAAATGGACTCACAGATGACGAAACAGGCTCTGAACGAGATCGAGACCCGACATAATGAGATCATCAAACTGGAAACCAGTATCCGTGAGCTGCACGACATGTTTGTGGACATGGCTATGTTGGTGGAGAGCCAGGTTAGAATCTGCAGAGTTCTGGATGGTGGAGCACATGAGCTGTGGTTTAGAACCTGCAGAGTTCTGGAGCCCAGAACTATTTTTGACAGCCCACAGCCGTCTGCATCACAGAAACCATGCACTATAATCTAGAACCCATAAACGATGGTCTAGAACCTCTTCTCCGCCGTGGCACAACTTGAGCTCCAGGGGCTCTTCCCCACCCCGCCCCGCCCTCAGCTGGCATCTGTAGGAGGGAAGGGGAGGGGCAGAGGAGCTGACCCGTGCTCACACAGAAGGGGAGGGGAAAAGAGAGGGATATTGAGCTCTGATTGGTTGCTCCACCCCTGGAGGAGGCAGGTCAGTGAGGCAGATGACCAATCAGAAGGCAGCTTTCCCCCCTTTGTAGTTTTTCAAAAAATTCCTTGGCACCCATGACAGCACACCATCGGGGAAACTCTGGTCTAGAACCTGCAAGGGTTCTGAACCTTCGGCCCATATTATCTACAGTCCACAGCCTTCTGCATCATAAAACCATATACTGTAGGCTAGAACCTAAGGAATTCTAGATTGTGGAACCCATGCGCTGTGGTCTACAACATACAGGGTTCTAGACCTTGAGACCCATGAGCTATTATCTAAAGCCCACAGTCGTCTGCATCCTAGAACCCATGTACTCTAGAACGTGGAGAGTTCTGGATTGTGGAACCCATTAGCCAAGTTCCAGGGTTATGAACCTTGGGGCCCATAAGCTATTATCCACAGTCTTCTGCATCTTAGAACCCATGTATTTCTCCCAGATCCAAGAGAGTTCTGGATCAATGAACCCATCTGATATGATCTGGAACGTGTAGGATTCTATAGTGTGGAACCCAGGAGATTATTACCTCAAGTGGAGAGCATTCTGCATCTTAGCACTCAAGAGTTATAGTCTAGAACCTGCAGCTATCTGTATCATGGAACCCAGAAATGAATCTCCAACCAGCAGAATTCTAGATCATGGAGCCCATGAGCTATGCTCTAGAATGTACAGGGTTCTCTACCTTGGACCCATGAGATTATTGTCTAGATGCCTTCTGCATCCAACAGACTTCTGCACCTAAATGCAACAGTCTAGGACCCACTGTGTTCTGAATTATGGAATCCATGCATTATGGACAATTCATGCATGATAAATCCAAGAATGAACTATTATCTAGAATCCACAGACTTCTGCACCTTAGAACTTAGATGTTGCACTAGAAAACCCAAAAAGTTCTGTATCATGGAACCCATGAAATATGACCCATAATTTATAGGGTACTATAACCTAGAACCCCTGAGATTATTACCTCAACCTGACAGCTTCATGAATCTAAGTACCCATGGTCTAGAACATGCAGGGTTCTGGATCATGTAACCTGTGCGCTGCTGTCTAGAACCCATACAGTTCTGGATTTCAGAGCCCATGGTTGGCTTCAGTATTTCAGGGTTAGCCAAGTTCTCAGTCCTTTGAGCCACTAAAACCTTGGAGGTCTTTTGCATTACAGAACAGTTAGAGTTCTGGATAGTGGAAGACATGAGCAATGGTCGAGAACATAATGCATTCTGCAACGCAGGGCACTTGACAGTCAGATGGGCTTCCCAGTCTAGAACCTAGAGAGATCTGGATGGTGCTGCTTCTGAAGATACTCACAGCTGCATGTGTTCTGCCATCTAGAACCCATAGAGTTCCAACACTCTGGGGCCAGGAAGAGTGCTAGAGAGAGTCCCAGGATGGTGGGTTCTCTATCTTACACCCTACCGTAAGGTGATGGTCCACTCTAGAACTCTTCTAGAACATGGGTGGATCCAGAGTGCACGTTCTAGGTTCCAGAATGTACAGCGTTACAAGTTCTGAAACAGACTCACCAATCTTTTAAAGGTTCTGGCACCCAGGAAGCACTAAATGGGGCTCGTTTGTAGAGTCCACCAGGGGCTGCAAAGGTGTCAGTGGTGTGCATTTGTAAGCTCACAACAAACCTAAATTTCCAATTCAGCTGTTGGCTTCTCTCCAAAGGGCTGCCAGCCAGGGCCCCATTGTGATGTTCTCTCTTCTCCCACGAGAATCTGGACTGGGACTCATGAAACTCATTGCATACAAGACTCAGAATAGCTTTCAGATAAAATTCACTCCTGACTTACAGCCCCCGCCAGAGGGGAACGACCCCGGGTCCCATTCCCTGCCCCCTTGAGCGAGCCAGTCCCATTTTGAGCCGATGCCCCCTACAGGGGAACGACCCCGGGTCCCATTCCCTACGCTGGCCGGTCTTTCTGTGCTGGTTTCCCTCTCACCCGGGCTCTCTGTCTCAGGGAGAGATGATCGACCGCATTGAGTACAACGTGGAGCACTCCGTTGACTACGTGGAAAGAGCTGTGTCCGACACCAAGAAAGCTGTAAAATACCAGAGCAAGGCTCGGAGGGTGAGTGCAGGGATGGGGCAGGGGGGTGGACCCCCTTCAGCTGATGAAAGAGGCTGAGACCCCACAGAAATCCAGACACACATCTCCCCGGCCCCACCCGAGGCAGGTCATCCCCGAGAGCCTCCTCCCCCAGCAGAGATGGAGACACTTCACCAGAGCCTGTCCCCTCCCTTCTCCTGTCTCTCTCTCTCCATCACTCCATCCCCAAGGCCTCTCCACACCACACGCTTCACTAATTTTGTGTGTGGCAGCCGTTTTCTATTTTTAACACAGTCTATCCACTCCCTTCCATCTTGGCCCCCACTTCCCCTGGCTCCCGAAACACTGCTATCCCAGCCCTGGCCTCCCGGTGCCCCTCACTCCTGACATGCAGCCCCTGCTATCCCAGCCCTGGCTTCCCCCGCACCCACAGCTCTGCCAGTGCCCCTAACTCCTGACCCGCAGCCCCTGCTAGCCCAGCCCTGGCCTCCCCCGCATCCACAGCTCTGCCGGTGCCCCTCACTCCTGACACACAGCCCCTGCTAGCCCCAGCCCTGGCCTCCCCTGCACCCACAGCTCTGCCGGTGCCCCTCACTCCCGACCCGCAGCCCCCTCCTGTCCCAGCCCCACCTCCCTTGGCAGAGCAATGAGGGATCTCTGTCAGACTGCTACCTGGCAATGTGAATAAACAGATGTGATGAGTCTGAGAGCGGGAGAGGAATGACGCTCCGAGTGAACACGAGGGCCAGGGACACCCTTGGTTTCCATCAGGAGATGGAGACATCTAAGGAACTGAGGACCTCTGGGTTCTATTCCTGGTTCTAAGAGGGGAG